ATACTAGGTTATATGAGTGCATGCATGTGATTTATTTTGTTTTATTTCAATACCCAATATGGGCCTTGCTGAATCTATGAATTCATGAAATACTAATCACTGCCTTCTCCTCTGGTCTCAATTCATTACTTTTGCCTCTAAATAAGAATTAGTCCTTCTTCCTGTCTGCATTTTGTACCTTCATTTTCTGCAGAGTAACTTTTTTAAGATATCAAGAAACTTTACCTCGTTTATGTTATGCCACTTGAAAGTTTCTTGTTTTTCATATATTTGTAGTGTGAATTCGATAAATCAAAAGATTTGGGATAAAAGAATTGATAGTGAGCAATAATGCATTGTCTTCTATAGAATTCTCTAAACTTTTAAAACTACAAAATTTTTGTCTGTTCTTTGAAATCATAAAGGAAGACAATACAGCATGGTAGATTTATGTCAAGGTAAAGAGTTTGGATGTCACTATAGCCTCCTGGAATTTTCAGCTGAGTTGTTTTGAAAAAAAAAATGTAAAAGTCATTTAAAAATTCTGGGCTTCCAAAACCTCTTGGATAAAATTAATATGTGATCGGGGATATATTAAAGTTTATATATCCATATAAAATAAGTTAAATGTGATAGGATTTGAACATACAAAATATAGGGGCAGCAATTAAAGGAGTGATTCTTGTGATTTGGAATTTGATTTTATACAAAGACACATATAATGACGACGGTAGTACCTTTAAAAATAAGGACAATGAACATGATTTAAAGACAAATGCAAAGTGAGTTATGGCTCTTTATCCAGCTTTTACTGGTGGACAATAAATAATCATTGAAGAAAAATAAACTAGGAATAAATTATTAATATACTTAACAGGAAATGATGATGCAATGAACCAGTGGTAGCTACCAGACTTGCAGAGCCCAGGAATGAGGAACATGGTGGGAGGAGCTGGTCGTACAGATGTCACATGTTTGCCTTCCTGATTGAAAATGGAAAATAAACAAAACAAGGATAGAACAGTAAGTGTGACTCCATCAAAGCAAAAATGGGTGGAACAGGACTATTATTTTAGCCATTCACATTGATTCGAATGTGATATATAGTTACCTGCACATTTCTCGATAATTATTGTGCAGTTGTACAATTCCAAGATACATAGATTTGCTTTTAATTATAAAATTACTAAACATTTATCTAGTTATTATTTTGTTATTTTTACTAAATACAAGAAAATTTCATCCTTTTAAAATTTGTCTCTGTGAGTTTAAGATTTCAGTATGTATTTGTGTGTGTGTGTGTGTGTGTGTGTTCGTGCATATGTATGCATGTCCATAAGATCTGAACCTGGTTTCTGCTTTTCTTCACTACTATAAGCACAGCTTAAATCCAATAAAGCTCACCAGGGATGCCACATCATTCCTAGTTGTTCCTGTACAGTTTTGTGTTTAATCAAAAGGGTCGATGGCATCATTGTATGCATATCAAAAATAGCTTTGTAAATGCCATATGGTAACCTCTGCTAAATAAATGTCTTAGATACAGTAGACAATAAGATCTCCTCGGTCAGAAAGGAAAGATATTTAATCAAAATTGAGAAGACTAAAAATTGGAGAGCACTGGGCTAAGAAAGAAAAAAGTCACAGTGGTGGGAAGAAAAATACCATGATCGAGGGAATGCTCCTTCTGAGAAGTATTCTCTGAGGTATTAAATTTCACGAATGCTGAGCCATGTGGAATATGCAGTGATGATCGAAGCAGAGTAAAAGTATTTAGAATATTTTAAGCTCTTTCTCACCTCATAATTTGTAAAATATTCTACCTTTTAACAATAGTTAAGACAATGAATTCAGTAGTGTGTTGAATGTGTTAAGGTAAACTTATGTTTAAATTAACAGGAAAGGAGACCTCAGGGCACTGTGAAATATTGTCGCTGTGCTGCAAGATCCATATTCTTTTAGTCCTGGTGTGTGTCTTTAACCACTACCAGGATCAGTTGGCCCTCAAGAGAGAATCGAAGACTCTGGAGTTCTCATTGCAGTGGAAAGAGTTTGTTGCTGGTTTGTGTGTATCTCACAACCTAAAGTTTAATAATGAAAATATAGGAACTCTTACAAAAGTGGCTTATCACTGGAAGCCTTTGAGCACAAATGTGCAGGCTTGGCTTGAATATTTGGAATATTTCCTGTGCAATTTTTAGTTTTTGGCAACTTTACAGCACCAGATGGCACATGTTAGCCTAGAGTTGTGACAATCTTTGTCTATGGGGATAATGCTGAGGTAATACATATTCATGAATATTTCACATCGTTATATCAACTTTTAAAACAATGGACAGCTAACTTCGAAAATGAATAATAGATGGGAACCAGACAACAAACAGTATCTCTTATGAAGAAGGTATTTTAAATTGCATTCCATCAGTGGAAAGACACTAATCCACCCTGTTGAGTCTTGCATGGCTGTGCTCACTTCACGTTGAGCACAGAGGTTTGCATCATGGCTGGAGTTGAGCTCTGGTCCATAGTCATCCCTGATGATGCATTCTGACACTCCATTTTCACAAATTCCAATGTCCCATCTGCTTCACAGTGTTTCCAACAGTTTTCTTGTAGCATTTTTTCAGCCACATTTGTTCAACTAAAAAAATGCCAATCAAATCAAACAACATGATAAGAATTGATCTTCTTTGAAATAACCACTGGAGAAATTTTATAAATATCTGGCATTTTTACTGTTTCTTAGGCTTATACAATCAAGTATATAATTTCATTGATTATCAAAATAATCCATAATGTATGATGCTGCCACTACTTATCACATGTTGTAAAGTGTGGGTTTGATCAGGAGGCAGGCTGGTGCACTAGCAGCCCCGGAGGTTAAGTAAACTGCCAGGAATAAAGCAACTATGGATTCTCGAAATGGCTCCATAGGGTAGTACAAGTCACAATATCTCAAATGAGCCCTAGCTTTTATCAAGACCAGTGTCATGTTCAAACAATTTCAGATCCAGGAATTGCGGTTGTACAAAAATATTCTGCAAAATGTTAGTACTCAAAATAGAATATGGAACAG